GTAAGAGTGCAGTCTAGTACAGTAAAGCCCAGTGAGACTGTGGTAAGAGTGCAGTCTAGTACAGTAAAGCCCAGTGAGACTGTAGTAAGAGGTGCAGTCCAGTACAGTAAAGCCCATGAGACCGTGGTGAAAGCAGGGATGGGCGTGGCACACAGGGACATCAGTGGGGGGAACTCTGGGAAGGGCTGAGCGGAGCTGTGCTCTGTGTCTGTGTGTGTTTGTGTGGGTCTCCCCCTCACAACTGGCACCGTGCCCACTGCTCTTACAGTAAGAGACAGGACAGAGGAGAGACAGGGAGGAGAGACAGTGAGAGGAGAGAGAAGAGAGACAGAGGTTAAGAGGAGAGAAGAGAGCAGAAGAAGAGGATGGGAGAAGAGAGTGGAGAGAGAGGAGAGATGGGGAGAGGAGAGGAGAGACAGGAGAGAGAGAGGAGAGAGGAGAGACAGGGGGAGAGGAGAGATGGGGGACAGGAGAGAGGAGAGACGGGGGAGAGGAGAGAAAGGAGAGAGTGGAGAGACGGGGGAGAGAGAGAGGAGAGACAGGGGGAGAGGAGAGAGAGGGGAGAGAGGAGAGACAGGGGGAGAGGAGAGAGAGGGGTAGGGGAGAGAGAGGGGAAGGGGAGAGGAGAGAGGAGAGACAGTGGTAGAGATAGGAGAGAGGAGAGATAGGGGGAGAGGAGAGACAGGGGGAGGGGAGAGACAGGAGAGAGTAGAGACATAGAGAGAGGAGAGACAGGGGGAGTGGAGAAGAGAGAGGAGCTCTAACAGACAGACAGGGAGAGAGCTGTGGCAGTCTGCAGGGAGGAATCCCTCTGTGCTCAGTGTGGAGCTCCTGTCACGCTCTCCTCTCAGTGCTGAGATCAGGGGAGGGGCCTACCTCTCTAACCACAGGCAGGGAGAGCCTGCGATAACCACCCGGCTGTCCTCGTCACACTTTCACCAAGCTCGCAGCAGTGATCTCTGCAGGTTACTCATTAAAGGCCCGGGCTCAGACAGAATCGACTCACCAGCACAGAGAGAGAGAGAGGCTTACAGCACACACCCGTACTGAACGGAACTGAATACTTCATGTCCACAGAGCCTGCCCTGACCTCTGACCTCTGAGGGAGAGTCAGAGAGAGGGAGGGAAGGTTTGAGACGATCCTGACTTATTAAATGACAAGCGTGGGAAAAGTTAATGTATTTACCCCTCCTTCTTCCTCTCTCTCA